GTTTACCTATTCATCCCTTTCCCCATGCCACTCCTCAACTCCTGGAAAACACTGATCTTTTTTAAAAAATATATTTTATTGATGATTTACAGAGAGGAAGGGATAGGGATAGACAGTTAGAAACATCCCCCTGCTGGGGATGTGCCCACAACCAAGGTACATGCCCTTAACCGGAATTGAACCTGGGACCTTTCAGTCTGCAGGCTGATGCCATATCCACTGAGCCAAACCAGTCAGGGCAACACTGTATCATTATTGATGTTTCTGTCTCTCTCTCCCCCTTCCTCTCTGAAACACACAAGACACACACAGACACACACACAGACACACACACAGAGAGAGAGACACACACACACACACAAGACACACACAGACACACACACACACATACACACACACACGCCACTCAGGGAGGACGGGGTGGTCACACATGAACACTGGCTGAGGGCCAGGCACTGTCCTAGCACTTCACATGCAGTAACTCCCCAAACTTGTACAACCTCTGCCGTCTACACTGTTGTTATTCTCACTTTTAGTTGAGGAAACTGAGGCCCAGAAGCTAAAGGACCTTGCCAGGCCACACAGCTAGGACACAGGGGGCTCCCCAGGCTGGGAGTGCCTGCTCTGTAGCGCCCCCCCCACCCAGGGCTCACGCCTGCGCTGCTGTGGGGAGAGGCAGGGGAGTCCCCGGCGGCCGTTCACTAACATCAGAGGGGAACGTGGATGTCCTCAGGCCCCTGTATTCACACGGCGGAGGCCTCGCTGTTGCCCCAGGCCCCACGCCCCAGGCTGCTCTGCTTGGAGACTGAGCCTCTGGCCTTCACAGTTTGCTTCCTGAGGGCTGTCAGCAGGGCCGGATGAGGAGGTGAGGACAGGGTGGGTGCTGGGGGGCGGGGGGTGGAGCGAGGGAGAGGTGTGACCACAGTTGGGGGGGCAGGCGGGCAGGAAGCAGAAGTGATGTGAGAGGTGGCCTGGTGATGAGCTGTAGGGTGAGCCTGCCGGGAGGGCTGACACCACTTCAGGAGCTTCCCCCGACGGGAGAGGGTGTCTGTGTGGGAGCATCTCAATGCAGGACTCCAGGTACTGTACGGAGGAAGCCGCGCCAGGAGGCTGGGAGGCCGGGGTGGGGTCGTGGGGCCTGGAGTGGGGCTGCTCCTTTGGAGGAAGAGCCTAATGTGGCAGGAAGTGATGTGACTTGTACGACAAGAGACTTGGGTCCCAGACGGTGCTAGTCACGGACCCCCTGGGAAGCCTCACGTTGACGCGGGCCCACCGTTTCCTCATCTATAACATTAGGAGGTTGGAGTAGGTAGCTCTGAGACCCCTTCACATGTGGACAGTGAAAGCTTCTACGAAAGCCGGAAACAAGCTTCCTGGGAGACAATAGGATGGGGGCCAAGAGGGAGCTGAGCTCCTTGGGTGGAGGGCATGAACTGCACTGGCCTCCGGAATGGGATAATCCTCGGGCCTTTGAGAGACTCCCCTTGTTCTGTTACTACCCTGGGGGCTGCCGTGTTGCCTGGACCCCCACCATGCAAGTCACTCCTCTGGGCCAGGCACAGAGGGAATGCAGGGGAAGCCCTGCTCTCCACAGTCCCATGACTCAGAGAGACTGCCCCCCAGCCCCCACCCCCACCCCCACCCGCAGGTGCTGGAGGGGAGCGGCCCCCCAGGAGTTCATCTGCATAGAAGTAGAGAGAGATTCCAGATCGTAAGCAGGCCCAGGTGAGACTCCAGGGCCACCTCCAAATGAGGAAGAGCCTTCTAGCTTATCGCTGTCCGATACTGGGCAAAAGGTGGCTCGTAGAACTCCACGGAGCCTGGTGGGGATGCACAAGCCTGAGTGTCAGGGAGCCTGGAGGGCAGACGGACGGCCCCTCCCGCCCAGCATCTAAGGGCCTACGCCTATGGAGAGCTTTTATTCTAGAATGTAGGCTGATGTTCTTCCATGAGAATCAGGGAGAGGGCCCCAAAGCGGGGATGAGGAATAATGCTGATGCACAACCTCATTTCTTCCCCATTTCCATGAAAGTTCTTGTGGGGAACAGAGAGAAGAGAGAGGCGGAATGGGGAACGCATGGCACTTCTCCAGAATCCAGTCTTTTCCAGAGTCCCCAGGTCCCTTCCCAAATCTGCTACAGCTCCGCTCTGTCCCCTCCTGTGCACACAGAGCCCCTCCCCACCAGCAGCCACCGTGAGGACAGAGCCATCCATCTGGAGCCCCAAAGGCCTTAAATAGTGGGAATCCTAGCAAGGGGCTCCTCTGGCTGAGGACCTGGGCAAGTCCCTTCTCCGCGCAAGGCCCATCTGTACCACGTGGTGACCAGGTTTGTAAAGGCCATTCCGGCTCTGACATTCGATGACTTGAGAGATACCTCACTCCCTCCCCATTCCATGTGCCCTGATCATCCGGCTGAGGGAGGGGGTCAGCCATGCTCCTTACCGCTGCCCCTAGCTTCCCGGAGTTCCGACAACCTCTGTCTCCACAGCTCCATGGCCACCCGTGTGCTCCTCTTGGGCATCCTGCTCCTGCTGCTGCCCACGCCTGCCCCTGCCCCCTGTTACACCGCTGCGAGATCCGAGTGCCAGAGTGTTCTCAAGGCAGTGCCTGGCTCAGAGCTGGCGGGGGAGGGCGTGGATGTGACCAGTCTCAAGCGCTCAGGCTCCTTTCCGGTGGATACAGAGAGCTTCCTACGGTCCGATGGCACCTGCACCCTCTGCCGCAACACCCTAAAAGGGGGCGCCCGCCAGCGCCTGCCCCTGGCGCTCACCCACTGGCGGGCCCAGGGCGCAGGCTGCCAGCGCCATCTGGTCAGGGCCAAGGCCAGCTCCACAGAGACCGTGGCCAAGGATGCCGCTTCCAACATCCGCAATGACTGGCGGGTGGGGCTGGACGTAAACCCCAAGCCCAGCACCAGTGCTCGTGTGACTGTGGCCGGCTCGCACTCCAAAGAGGCCAATTTTGCGGCTGAGAAAACCCACCAGGACCAGTACAGCTTCAGCACCGACACAATGGAGTGTCGCTTCTATAGGTGAGTGCTGGGGGTGATGACAGAGGGGGCTTGAAAAAGCTCTGGGGGATTCTGGGTGGTCTGGGAGCCCTGGCATGGCACAGTGGGGACTGCTTCCACCAGGAGGAAGCCACAGCCCAGGTCCTCACTCACCAGCTGGTCCAGCGCCCGGTGGCCCTGGCCTGGAAGAGCCCAGGGAGGGGAAAGTGGAGAGGAAGCAGGCAAGGCTGGGCTGAGAGCCCCAACAGAATGCCTTCAGGCCCACTGAGTGCCCAACCCCTCTTTCCTGGGCATTGCCAGCCTTCTGCGGGCAGGAGACCTGGCTGGGTCCCTCCCATCACTGAGCCTCCATCCATTCAGACACTATTCATGCCTGCTTTGCCATGCTCCGTGCTGGGAATTAGGGCTACGGCACTGAGCTGAGCTGAGCACCAGCCCTCCGGGATGTAGGTCCCGCACCTGAGAAACGCATGATCTCAATGGGCAACCCCAAGTCACGTGCCCTGATCCCTCACACTGGAAGGCCACCTTTCCCCACAGTGAGTCAGGGCACCCCCCACCTACATGGCTAGAGTCGTCAGCAGCCCAGGCATACGGGCCCAAACCACGCAGACGCCTGAGGGCCACAGGACTAGGGTCCAAAGCTAGAGGAATACCCTCCCTGCAGTGTCATCACTTGTATCATTAGAAAATAAAAAGGGAAGAAAAACTTTATTCTGAAAAGGAAAAGTGAAAATGCCTGGACAAAGTAGCAGGGCCATTGAGGAGGCATAGACAAGGTGGGTTTCCTGGGTTCGGGTCCCAGTTCTGCCATTTATATGTGACCCTGGGCATCTGAGGGAGTTACGGAATGCAGGACAGACTACCCACGGCTGGGCCCACCTGATGTCTTTCCCTCCTCCTGCCCCTCCCTCCCCAGGGTTCACCTGGTGCACTCTCCGCCACTCCACCCCGAGTTCAAGAGGGCCGTCAGGGACCTGCCCCCCCACTTCAATGCCTCCACCGAGCCTGACTACAGAAGGCTCATCTCCAACTACGGTACCCACTTCATCCGCTCCATGGAGCTGGGCGGCAAGATCTTTGCCCTCACCGCCCTGCGCACCTGCGAGCTGGCCCTGGGAGGGCTCACGGCCGACGAGGTGGGGGAATGCCTGGCCGTGGAGGCCGAGGTCAGCATAGGCAGCTGCGCCAGCTCCTCGTCGGAATTCAAGGCCTGTGAGGAGAAGAAGAAGCAGCACAAGATAACCGCCTCCTTCCACGAGGCCTACCAGGAACGCTATTCCACAGTGGTGGGCGGCCACCACTCCGCCATGGCCGACCTGCTGTTCGGGAAACATGCCGCGCCCGAGCAGTTCTCAGCCTGGGTGAGCTCCCTGGTGGACAGGCCCGGCCTGGTGGACTACAACCTGGAGCCGCTGCACCAGCTTCTGAAGAAGCCGGACCCCCGGCGGGAGGCGCTGAGGCAGGCTGTGAGCAAGTATGTGATGGACCATGCACGCTGGAAGGACTGCAGCCGGCCCTGCCCCCTGGGCCAGCAGAAGAGCCCCCACGACCCCTGCCGGTGCGTGTGCCACGGCTCAGCGGTCACCAACCAGGACTGCTGTCCCCGGCAGAGGGGCCTGGCCCACTTAGAGGTGATGAACTTCAAGGCGACAGGTCTGTGGGGAGACATATTTACCTCCACGGACGCCTACCTGAAGGTCTTCTTTGGGGGGCAGGAGCTGAGGACAGGCACGGTGTGGAACAATAACAACCCCAAGTGGATGACGCAGCTGGACTTTGGGGACGTGGTCCTGGTCTCGGGGGGGCCCCTGAGGGTGCAGGTCTGGGACCAGGACAACGGCTGGGACGATGATCTCCTTGGCACCTGTGACCGGACTCCGCAGTCCGGCCCACAGAAGGTGACGTGTAACCTGCATCACGGTCACCTGGAGTTCTTCTACAAGGCCACATGCTTGCCTCACCTGACAGGGGGATCTTGCCTGCAGTACGCCCCCCAGGGGCTTCTGGGGGAGCCTCCGGGAAACCGAAGCGGAGCAGTGTGGTGACAACGGGGCCCTGAGAGGCCTGCTTGCCCGGACTGAAGGGGTTCTCACAGAGGGAGCCAGGGCCTATTGTCTTCATATCCCCATTAGACAGAGAGAAAATGGGCTTTCCCCTCCCCCCACCTTTTTCTCAGTCGGGTGGCTGGATTTCTAGGCAGCCCTGAGTCTCCCCGTCCAAACTGCCTTGGCTCTCCAATATTCTGGAGCCCAGGAAATGAGCTGCTGCTGGGCGCCACGGCCACCAGTCGCTACACAGGCCAGGCTGGGCAGAGGGCCAGGAGGCCACTCCCACCAGGCTGCTTGGAGTCACCTAAGAGCTTCCCTTTCTAACACGGTGATTTTTCATCATTTTAGATCTCGCCCTTCTCTCCCAGCGGCTCGGTTTTCTGTCTTCTTTGCCCACCAAACTTTGCCTCTCAGACAGACCAGGGGCTCTCTTGACCTGTCTCATTGTACACAACCCACCAGAGAACCAATAAATGCGACATGACGACACATGTAATGGTGGTGGCTGTGACAGAGGAGGGGGTGGGGACAAACACAGCTCTGGAGGTAAACTGCTGCTCTAGCAGCCCTAACAACGGGACAGGTGGCTCACCCAGCGGCAGGCAGGGAATAGAGAAGAGCTTGCTTTCCACTTTTGTTGGAAATGTGGGGACCCAACATATTTTACTTTCCTCATAAATCTCTGATTTGAGAAACAGCAGCATAAACTTGGTGACACATGGCAACGGACACTCAGCTCCCAGCTGTGAGGCAATAGGGAGTGTGTGTGTGTGGGGGGGGGGGGGCGGGGGGGCTGTGGTGAACTGAAGGGCACAGGTCTTATCTGGGGGTGGGGAGGCTGCAGCTCCACACCAGCCAAACATTCGCAGGCAGGAATGTGAGCCCAGTGCTGCCAGGTCTTCTAGATCCTTAAAGTACCCAGAAATCCCAATTTGACTTCTAATTGCTGACAATTCGTTCCACCTTGTAAAAAAAACCAACTGATGTGGGAAAACATGGGACCAGGCAAAGAGAACAAGGATGAGGGCCGTCACTGACCTGGAGCAGTCAGTTTGGAAACTCGGACTTCCTCAGGACCCACTGCAGGCTGCACAGCTCTCCCCTGTCCCACAGTCTCAGAGGGGGGCCCAGGGCTCCAAGCAGGTGGTGTGGGAGGGCTGCCTGGTCAGCGTGCAGGAAACGCAGAGCCTTGGGGTCTGATATAAAATGAAATGTCTGGGTTTCCTGTGCCTGGGACCCTAGGAACAGGCCCGCAGGCTGTGCAGGGCCGTGGTCGGGGCTCGGAGCTGCCGGCACAGGCCTCCTGGTTATCTCTGAAACCCCCTGTACATTAAGCCCCTGGAGGCTTGTGAGGACCCCTAGGCTCAAAAGTCCCAAAGTGAGAGTACATGGAGCCTGGATCCTCAAGTGGGACAGGAGGGACTGGTGAGCGCTGCAAGCCAGTTTAAAACCACCGCTCTTAACACGTTTCCGTTCACAGCCACGCACACAAACAAGAGCAGGAGAGAAATCTTGAAACTTCACGCTGGCTGCTGCACTACCTGAAATAAACACGGTGGGGAAGCAGGGCCCGGGCAGGCTGAGGGCGCGGCTCCGATGAGCGATGGCGGTCTTGGTCAAGTACCCACGTGGTCGGTGACCTCCAACAAGCCCCTCTGCTCCCTGGGCCTTGGTTTCCCCAAAAGGACGATCTTCGTTTTATTCCCTTCACAGGGCCTTTCTAGAAGGTCCGTGCTCTGAAAGGGCTCCTGAGCGGTTATCTGGTTAACCTCCTGGTTTACCGGGAAGGAGAGTGGGGCCAGGAGGAGAAGGGACGTAACTGTGGCACCAACGTCCGTGGCCAGATGTCTGCGTGTTCTGGCACTCCGTCCAGCACAGCTTTGGAGAGAACGACAGGACCCAGAGAGGCTGGCTGGTGGGGGAAGGTCAGGAGAGGACCAAGGCAGGGGAGGGCCTGCAGAAGGAGACGAGGGAGAGCCTTGGGGAGACGCAGGAGCCCCTTTTGGCTTTGAGAGTCCTCTCCAGTGTTCTTCGTTCCCCCACATCTGTCACCAAGGCCAGCCATCTCTGCATCCTGACACTGTCCCCTCTGCCTATCATCACCGCTTCTCCAGCCCAGGCTACCACCATCTCTTCCTGTGGCCTCCTCACTGATCTCCAGGCTCCTGTCTGCCCTGCCTGACACCACCCCATAGCCACAGAGGTGCCCACACCCTGCCCATGTCCCCTGGAGTCCCCCTCCAAGCCAGCCCCTGCATCTCTCTCTGAAGGCGCATACTGCAGCCCACTCTGTCTGCCCCATTGGAAGACCACAGCTTTGGGGAAGTGCCCATGCCCTGCCCGGCCCAGAACAGTGCTCAGTGGCCACGGAGGTGGCCTATACGTACCCCAGCTCCCTCTCCTGAAGGGGAATAACTCTGAAGGAAGAGTCTGTGCTAGTTCCCAGAGTTCCCAGCAGGATTAAGCTCCAGTACCCACAGAGATGATTTGCTTGGCCACACAGGCTCTCTTGGCTGACTCCCTTCCCCGTCTCAGTTCCCCACTCCCCTACTGGTATTTCCTGGACTCATCTCCCACATAAACTACCCCGTCCCTGTCTCAGGGTCTGCCTCTGGGGAAACCACCTAAGCAGCACATCTTACCACATCATTGCCTTGCTTAAACCCTTCATTGGTTCCTTGTGTCTCTTGGGATGAAACTCAAACCTCCTATGTGACACACATGCCGACCCCACTCTCCACTCTGTTCGCCCCTCGCTAAGCCCCGCCTCCCTGAGCGTATGGGTTCCTCTGTGAGCCATGCGCTCTCTGGCCCTTCATACATGCTGCCTCCTCTTTCTGGAACTTGTCTCCTCTGTCCTAAGTCATCCTCAGCCTTCAGGCTTCAAATGTGGCTTCCTCCAGGAAGCCTTCTCTGACTGCCAGGTCTAGGTCACAGCCTCTACCACTCTGCTCCTATAGTTCCCATTCTTTCCCCAGGGCCAAAGGCCACTTCTATCTTATTCAATTAGTCTAGCATCTGGCATAAGTTTGATACTTGGAAGATATTGGGTGGATGATTAGAAGGGAGAAAGGAAGAAAGGAAGAAAGAAAGAAAGAAAGAAAGAAAGAAAGAAAGAAAGAAAGAAAGAAAGAAAGCCACCAAGGAACCTTCTAGCCTCAGCTCAAACTCTCCCAGATTCAGAGAGCTCGGTGCCTCTGGAGGCAGCTGTTCTACATGTGGAGGAAATGAGCCATCGTGTTACACTGCCTCCTTGTGACGTACAGCCTGGTCGTGGGGAGGGATTCCGTGTATATAAATCTCCGGCCCCACCTCAGACTTGGTTGGGCAGAAGAACCAGTGGGCTGATTCCAGTGCAGGCTGCCACAGAGGGGGCGCCCAGAAGGCGTCACAGAGGGGACACACACTGCCCGGGTAGAGGTGGCGTGGGGCTGGGCCGGCCCTGCTCTCCATCACTGACCACAGAAATGAGAATCTCTCACGGGGCTGAGGGAAGCCTCTTCTGTGTTACCCACCGGCCTCTCATTTCTCTGCGGACTCAGTTCAGGCCAGGCAGCTATTTCTCTGGCCACAGCTGGTGCTCACTTGGCCTGGGAAGGTTGTGACCCAGCAGGGCCAGGCCCACCACCTTCACCTGCTCATGGATGCTGCTCCCCCTCCCGCCCCTGCTGCCCGGTGAGGTCCTTCCCAGCCAAGACCTCCACGGCCTACGTGGCCACACACACCGGCCGGGGCAGACTGCCTGGCTTTCCACTGCTCGGGATGGGGGTAGGTCTGGTGCAGCTGAGACCAGGGGCACAGGTGAGATTCTCACAGGTGGTCAGGGTTAGTGTCACACAGAAAGATCCACCCCCCTCACAGACAGGACCCTCATGAGCAGCCAAAGACTGAAACCAGCCCCACACGCACCCCACACTGGCCATAGCTTTATGTGAGCCTGGATTTTGATTGGAGACTGAGCCCCAACACCATCCATTCTCTTAGCACATTGCAATCACATAAAACATCCCCTGCAGACCCCGGCTGTAAAACAAGGGGTTAGAACAGAGACTTCTGCACCGCTGTCCCGCTCGGAGGGGCCAGGCCCTGATTCTATATGCATCTAATCCTGGCCCTTAACAGCCGTGGCTGAATGGACCCACAGCGCCTGGCCTGTCTCCATGAATCTGCTCACCAGGCAGGCCCCAGGGCACCGCTGTCCTGATGCTTGAAGAAGCCCCCGCTCCATTTGCCTTTCTCTTCTCAAAGGCCCAGATACACAGCCCTGGGCCAGAACCAGCACAGCTGCTGTTGTTTGGCAGGTATCAGCAGAATTTGTTTACTGTGGGGCTCCAAGTGCACATCTCGGCTCACAGTTCATCTCCACAACAGCTGGCTCCTGGTTTCATCTTTAAAAGGCAGTGACTCAGTTCCCCGCAGGACAATGGCTTTTCCCCTGGGAGACCCGAATTCCCTTCAGCACTCACCCGCCTGCAGGGAAGCGGCCTCCAGGCAAACGTCTGGGTCTCCCGTCCTCTCCACTCACCGGCAGCATCACCGTTCGCACTGGGACCTCGGCCGCCCGAGGCCCTCCACCACCGGAGGTGGTCATTAAGGGAGCACATCGGTACCACCCAGGCCGCTCCCTCTCTGTGGTAACGTGGCACTTCGAGGGTTTTTATTTTGTAAAGCGTTTTCCCAGGTGGGAGTCGTTGAGAGGGACCTCACTCCCTTGCCTGCCTCTTCACTTCCATTATTTCTCTCTCACTGACACCACAAGTGAAATACTAAGAAATCAGGTATCTTGCCCGGTGGTGATGCTCAGTGGTTGAGCACCGTCCTATGCACCAAGTGGTCCCGGTTCGATTCCCAGTCGGGGCACATGCCCAGGTCGTGGGCTCCATCTCCTGTGGGGGGGGCATGCAGGAGGCAGCCAATCGATGTTTCTATCTCTCTCTCTTCTCCCTCCCCCTTCCTCTCTCTCTAAAAATCAATAAAAACACTTTTACAAAAGAAAAAAAGAAATAACATTTCTTGAGCGGTTAGTGTAGTGTTTTAGGGACTGCACGTGTATCCGGTCATTTAATCCTCCTAACAGCCTGCGCGCGGAGGGACTCGGGCCGTCGTGGACCTGAGATGTACAGAGGGCTGAGCACCTTCCCCGCCCCTTCGTCTGCAGCTTCTCCTCCAGACCATGCTGGCTCCTGAACGTGGGGAGTGTACTGCGCCCCGTCTCTCCTCCATCGCCCTCACCACCACCGTCAGCACAAGGCCTTCGCCTGGCTGACAGGGGCCCGTTTTAGGGGATGCTCTCAAAGGGCACAGCCTCCCTGTGCCACCCTGCCACTCGCTTTTTAAAAACGTGATAAAATATACATGGCGCAGGATTTGTCATTGCACCCACGTGTAAGCGTGAGTCCATAAAGACACTCGCAGTGCTGTGTCAGTGTCACTCCGTGTACCCCTCACACTTTCTCATCATCTCCAGCCGTTGAACAAGTAC